ACATTGGATTAAGAGCATAGTGATGCTGACCATTAAATTCGAAGGCCAGTTTTAATTCCTCATTGTATCCATTGAAGTGCATCCCTTGTAAAAATTTCGGTGCACAGGTGGAAACTTTTTTCCTAACAGATCTTCAAATATATACCTTGATGTATGTTCTCCTTTCGAATGAGGACATAGGGGGCACCAGTCATATCTCTTTGTAATAACTTCAATTGGTCTCTCCCATAAGTGATTTCTATTGCATGAAAATAAGAAAGTTGTAGGACCAGTTTGGATGTGAACTTTTCCTCTGCGTTTTTCAGCGTAAGTTTGAGCTTCGGTAAGTTTCATCATGTTTATACTTATGTATATATATTTAGGAAAAAAATCACGTGCGCGTTTAGAAAAAACACCGATCACTCTGCCAAGAATAAAAAATTTCAAAGATATAGTTAAACTAGTATCAGAATGAAATATCATTATATATACCACGTCGACGAAATCAAGCCGTCAAAAAAATCTTTAGACGATATAGATGCTCCTAAGTGGCCCTTTTATATTGTGGTGAGTGGGAGATCGAACACTGGTAAGACTAATATGCTTCTAAATCTCTTTAACGGGGATAAATACTATGATCTGAAAGAGGGAAAAAAGAAAATTGGTGAACGTTTTATACGTTGCAATGATCTAGTACTTGTGGGACATTATATTAATGAACCCAAATGGAAGTTAGTTCGAAATTTTTATAAGAAAATAGCAGATCGTTCCAAACCATATTATGAAGATGTTACATTTACTGCACTTACATCTGATAAAATTCCAGACCCAAAGCAGTTTAAAAATCCAAAAAGACGTACAGTAATTATCTTCGAGGATCTGTGCACTGAATCTCCAGCGATCCAAAATCGTATCATTCCATTTTTTAATAGAGGACGTCATAGCAATATCTCCGCCATTTATATTTCGCATAAATTTACACAAGTACCAAAAATCATTCGTGAAGGAATTACTCACCTCGCATTATTCAATGGTGGGGGGTCAACAGAAGATATTGCACGAATTATAAGACAATACATAGAGGAAGATCCATGTAAAGCTTCTAAAACCATCAATAAATATTTGCGGAATGGAGAGTTTATAGTTTTTGACACTACCGTACCAATCTCTGATTCTATGTCTATTAGAATCGGTTGGATGAATCCTCTAGATCTGGAAAAAGAGATCAAATCATTAACAGCGTAATAAAGAAAATAAATTATGAGATTTTTTAGTAAAACTAACTCTGCTAAGCTTGGATAACTTATCTTTATCCTCTACAATTGTAACTTTTTTCCTTCGATTTCATATAAAAAAGATGTCCAAGTTTAATCAAATAATAATATTTCTCCCACTATTTTTTTATATATAGAATATAGTATATAGTATATATCTTACTCGCCACTCTGTAGAGATGCACGTATCCAGCCGGTGTTGAAATTGAGGTAGATATATATTTCAGATAAAATGCACTCCTCCGTGTATTCAATCATTATTCTATCTGCCACTCATATTATTGAGCTGACCGATCCTGCCGGTGTGAAGTTAGAGTGAATATTGAAAACAATGGTATTAGCCTGCCAGCTTCGCTAATACAAGTCCATGTATTATTTCTAATATGGGGATTTTTGTGACCCATAAAACAGGTTGATATATAAAATTAAAGTAAAAAAAGCTATTAATCATCACGAAATAGCAGTGAATAAAAGTCTAAAGTACTAGCCCTCGAGGAATACCTTAGGTGATTTTATTTTAAAATAAATACATATGAATAAGTTATATATTAATAAATAGATTAAATCGAATAAATAGATATGTGTATTATACATTACTAACTTGACGCATTTCTTCTCGAACCGCCCATAATAATTTATAATGTTCAGCTAATTGTGAAGCACAGAGACCATCGGGTCTGTACATATATTCCAACCATTTTTGAGATATGGTATTTACAGCTCGGATCTTTTTTCCAACTTCTCTCGCACGTTGAATTTTTTTGATAGCATTGGACATCCACAATTCATAACGACGAATCGCATCTTTTTCAAAGTAGGAGTTACTAGCTTCTGATCTACTTTTAAGTTCCATATAGTCTTTATGACTAATATCACAATATGCGTTTCCTGTGCAATTTGTGCTCCAATGTTTATCCATGAAATGAGGAAATCCACACTCATAACCACTTCCGATTCTAGAATAAACGAGATTGTTACATGAATAACATATTGCTATACTTACACCTACAGCATGACCAAGATCGCCTTCCCATAAATATTTCATTTTTCTGGCAATAAGATATCGCTTTTTATCATCAGTCAAACGATTATTATTCTTATAATTCGTCAACTGATCCCAAATTCGTTTTATCCAATCAGATGGAGTTTCACCTTTACGAATTACTGGAAATTGACAGTTATCTCTCCATTCAATATCGCTCAAAACTGGACATTTATCCGTATAGACCATATTTAATGATTAAGATAATGTTAATGTTTTTAGAGATTATGTGATTTATATCGAATTTAAGGATTTAGACCTATTTGATTTAATACCCATATACTCTAGAATAAGTGGATTCATTTTTAATAAAACGAGAAGATAATCTACAGTTATACTGATATATGGGAAAAAAATCGAAATATATATTACATTAATACGCATGATTTTTAAGAATCTAAACCATGTGTAGTTAATCCAATTTTAGGGATCCCTGCATATAGTCGCACAAGGCATCAACTGACCATATTCGCACGATGTAGATGTTCTATGAACTTAGCCAAATTAGTTTGATCTAAATGTTGCAAAATCTAATAAAGTAACTATTTTCGGTTTACATGGGAATCTGGTACAAAAAAAGATACCAGCCCTCAAGGGGTATCGAAATAAAGTCTAAAGTACCAGCCCTCAAGGGATACCTTAGGTGATTTTATTTTAAAATATATATGAATAAGTTATACATTAATAAATAGATTAAATCGAATAAATGATATGTTATAATAAATTAAGCTATACATTGTTAATTTGTCGCATTTCTTCACGAACCGCCCATAATAACTGATAATGTAATGCTAATTCGGTAGCACACATACCTTCGGGTCTGAAGAAAATTTCTAACCATTTTCTCTGTATAATTCTACATGCTCGAATTTTTCTACCGATTTCTCTTGCACGCTTAACCTTCTTGATAGCATTGGACATCCATAATTCATATCGATGCAATGCATACTCATTATCGAAATTATATTCTGAAATAGATTTTTGCTTGATTTTCAAGTACTCATCATAACTTACTCCACAATAAGAATTTCCTGTACAATGAGAAGCCCAATGCCTTTCCATTCCTATGTGGTTATAATTTCCAATATTTTTAGTTCGTTTACCGGTATATACTAATTGATTACAAGAGAAACAGATAGCAATATACTAATTGATTACAAGAGAAACATATAGCAATACCAATTTCAGGTGCATAGCTTTTATAAAATCCATTAACCTCAGACCAATATGTTATTAATTTTCTGGCTTCAAGATATTTTTTACTATTGGTAGGTAGAAGATCATTCTCTCTGAAATATTGTAAGCGAGAGCAAATTCGGTACATCCATTCAGTAGGAGTCTCATTCGATAAAACAATACCCATCTCCAGAATTTCATCCCATTCATCATCTGTACAATTGGTTCCACGTCTTTCACTTAAGCTAGTCATTTTATACAACTATTTATAGTGTTTTTCGAGATTATGTGATTATGTCGAATTTAAGGATTTAGACCTATTAGATTTAATAACTTTATACTCTAGAATAATACGATTCAATTTTAGTCCAGATTGGATTCTCCAACCATCTCTTCAAGAGTGTTATATTCGCCATATTTTGTGGGGGTATTTGTGGTGAGAATGAGTGAGATATATAGGTATAAATATAGTTTGTATCATTGTTCGTAATTTGAGGGATAAACATATCACAAT